TATATATATATGTATAAATGTATACTTTTTTGACCTCTGAGTCTAGTCCGTTATTGCAACTCACGTGTACGTCAGTCTAAAGTCTGTACTTCATCTCTGTGTCTGACTATGCCCTGCTGCCCAGTCTGCCAACTCAGACTCGGGCTCAAGCTTGCACAGGTTCAGTCAGAGCATAGTCTGTGGACGTTGAGCTGTTGTATACCCCATGTGCACCATGCGTATAGTTATAGTACCCTGCATATCTATTTACCTACCCTCCAGTGATTGCGTGCTACTCCAATCTGTTGGGCTGGCGCGAAATAGCTGATTTAAACCTATGAGAGTTGTTATCGTCTACTTTTATTATGTGTAGTATGTTTGTTAGGGGGATTGTATTGCTTATTCTGCCACGTGTAGTATGAGTTCCATGTTGGTCATGTGGTCGTAGGTAAGATATTGAGTGGAGTTGGTGCGGGTCTTAGAGGGGCACGAGAGCTATTCGGCGGCGCTGGCCTGTGCCAGAATGCGCCTTACGTATACAAACTCGTATAACTTTGAAGACCTTTCCTCGCCTACCAATGTGTGTGGCGTAATTCATCACATGTGAGACACTAAGTACTTTGTATGGTATATTCCGTCACATGAGAATATAAGTACTTAATATGGCACATTCCATCACATGTGAGAAACCAAGCACTTTGTATGGCATATTCCGTCACGTGTGAGAAACTAAGTACTTTGTATGGCGTATTCCGTCACATATGGGAAACTAAGCACTTTGTTTGTTGTTTCCGTCACAGGTAAGAAACTAAGGGAGGAGGGAGGTGATACTAAGGGAGCCAGCGCTATCCTGCGGCGTCTGCCTGTGCCTAAAATGCGCGATATGCTGTTGCCGGAGCGATTGGCCAATGTTTGGTGTGACGCGTGCAAGCTACGGTTGAGCTACGCTAGCGATAAGATCCTGCATCTGTCAGAGCGCGGGTATGGGGTTGGTGTGGTGTATGTGTGTGGTACAGGGCATGATACATTGAGAGCGTGTATACCAGTGTGTGATACTATACCCCATAGCTGGGTGTCGCAATTCGTCTGTGTGGTATATCGCATATTAGCTGCCGCTCCGCTCCGCTATGTGAATGCAATACTCCTGCATCTGTCGAACGGGGGTTGTATGGTATACATCATACAGTAGAGCGTTCAAGGGCAGTATATAGTAAGTTTTTGTATTAGGTGATGTATGGTTCGGTGCATTGTGTGTTGTTTTGTTTACTATACCGCGATATCATAGGCTTTCCGTTCCGTTCCGTGTGACACATGCAGACTTAGGCTGAGTTGTGCGAGCAATGGGATTCGTTATTCGACTACGCAGAGATATGATTTACCGTGTCTTCTATAGCGGCATTGAGCAAAAGTCTGTCGATTTTACCACTCGTCGTTGTCTCTCCTCCTTAGTTCCCGGCTTGTCGGATTGTTTTTCCCCTTTGATTGTTTTATCTCATAATTGTCGGATTGTCTTTCCCCTATTGTTGTTTTATCTCATGATTGTCGGATTGTCTTTCCTTTATGATTTTTTTAGGTCATAATTGTCGGATTGACTTTCCCCTATGATTGTTTTATGTCATGATTGTCGGATTGTCTTTCCTTTATGATTGTTTTATCTCATGATTGTCGTATTGTTTTTCCCCTATGATTGTTTTATCTCATAATTGTCAGATTGTCTTTCCCCTATGATTGTTTTATCTCATGATTGTCGGATTGTCTTTCCCCTATGATTGTTTTATCTCATGATTGTCGGATTGTCTTTCCCCTATGATTGTTTTATCTCATGATTGTCGGATTGTCTTTCCTTTATGATTGTTTTATATAATGATTGTCGGATTGTCTTTCCTTTATGATTGTTTTATCTCATGATTGTCGGATTATCGCTCTCCTATGGATGGCTCATCGCCTGACTGTTATCATCACTTCTCCTGTTTGCGCAGGGCGAAAGAGGGCATGTCCATCCACGCCCGCTATCAGCTGAAGTACATAGACCACGTCGACAACTCTAATCCGGTATGTTAGGATCGCACACTGTTAACGCTTCTCTCATATATAT